GGAGAAGAGGGAGGAGAGGGGGGGGGGTGTAGAGGTCTATTACCTGACCCGTTTTCATAGCTTGTGACGCTGGCAGTCGAGAAGAAGCGCTCGGTTCGTTTGAACGCTGGCTGTATAACGCAGCTCACGCAGTTGTGTACGCTTCGTACCAGGTTACATTGCAGTCGGTTTCCTGCGCAGATTACAACTCGCTCTGTACACGCGGAGAAATACCGGGGAGTGTTCACATCAAAACTAAATATGGTTGTTGGTTTCCATGGTGACTTTATCCGATGGTAGAGAGCGATCAATCGTAGGGATATGGATAAACTGTGTGGTTATTACAACGTCTCTTTTACAGCCAACTCGTCTTGGTTTATGGTAAGAGAAACTTTTACAGTACGTGTAAGTGTGTTTGTGTGTGTGAGCGCTCATAACGACAGGTTTTTACTAGGCGGACGTTGCCCTAATGGAATATTGCCAATACTGCCAACAGTTCACTGACTTTTCTTGGTCATGCATGTTTAGCGTAACTCGGCATACGCCATCCTGAGTTGTTGGGAAGTCGTAGTCGTTTCGCGAGAAATAATTAGAATTTGAAGCTTGAAAACAAACACACAGATATTTAACAGTTTTCAAAGCTTTTGTGTTATAAAGACATACTAATTTTGGCGCGAAAGAACTGCTTGCACTTTGTGTAACGTTGGCATCAAACCTGGTATTCTTGGCACAGCAGATGGGATTGAATGCCTAGACATTAACTCATTTGTTTCAAAGCTTTCATGAATAACTTAAGAGTAAAGTGAGTGGGGGTGGGTGGGTGAAAACAATAAGGATATTTTGAAATATCTTCTAAAAATAACGTGATATTTTCCGGGTTTTTCTTTTCTTAAAAACATTGAACTTACGCTAATTAATACTATATATATATATATATACTACATTCCTAGCGTTAGTCACCACCTAGTGTAGCTTCCTATAATCGAATATAAATGTTTTATTTATCAAATATCATTACGTTGGTACAGAGACCCTAAACGTTAGTCATGCATAGTGTTTAAATGTAAACATGTTTATAAATATTCTTGCGATAGGAAAATTTCTACCTATGTATGTATGTACGGTAGTGGTAAATGCAAGGTTTGACAGTAATATAGTCACGTTTCAAAACATGCGTTGCGTTATTGTTTCCTGCATAGTTTACTCACACGCAACGATGTATCAAACTATTGCGATTGTAATCTGGAATTATATAAGCTCATTTTTCTCGTTTTAGGCTTGGAAAATGTTGTGAAACAAGACCAGTTGTCTGAGAATGTTATCAATATCATGCAACAGTTTGCAGTTATTCAGCGTTTCCGTCTACTTTAAAATGCCGGAATTCTTTTTTTTTTATTTTACCTGAGCCTGATCAACTATTACATGCGTTCTTGATATTTGGAGTTATTTAGTTATTTTTTTATGACGTTTCACCCGACACTAGGTAGGCGGGATTTCGTACACTGGCACTGGAAAAGTTTTTTTTTCTTCTTTCTTGAAATACCCAACCTGTTTGAATTTGGGGGAGGGGGGTGAAGTACCACTAAAAATGACTCGTGTAACTCGTTTTACAATGACATTACATAACCAACAGTAGCTCGTAGGAAACCATATTCCTGTTAACGTATTAATGTGAAACACAGCATTTGAACATATTAGTTACTAGCCCTAAAAAAATATACTGTTGTGTGTGGGGGGGGGGGTATTATGTTACCCTGGAACGGTTCATCACCTTTGTTTTCTTAAAGACAAGATGATAGAGTTTGGTGACATTTTTGGGCAAAGTTTCTTGTTAGATTACGTCCCCTAACTACCGACGTACCATATTAACAAATATAAAGTAGGCTTAACATTACTCGCCATTGCATGTAGCCTAGTCTTGTAGTAGTTCACAATAAATATTATATAATAAGCTAAAGAAGGCCTCGATATGGAGATAGGGATCGGCATGGCCGCCAGATGGCTAGGGCGCTCGACTTGCAATCTGAGGGTCGCGGGTTCGAATCCTTGTCCCACGAAAGATGCTCGCCCTTTCAGCCGTGGGGGGCGTTATAATGTGACGACCAATCCCACTATTTGTGGGTAAAAGAGTAGCCCAAGAGTTGGTGGTGGGTGATGATGACTAGCTGCCTTCCCTCTAGGCTTTCACTGCTAAATTAGGGACGGCTAGCGCAGACAGTCCTCGTGTAGCTTTGCGCGAAATTCAAAACAAACCAAACCAACATGGAGACGGGAGAATTGTCTATAAAACATCCAAAGGGGGGGTTCCTGCCCAATAGGAACCTTCTTGAGAAATTTACTACCCAACCAAAGATATAACGACCTTTTTATTCATCTTAGTCATAGCTCTATATTATGATCCAATCAGTGAAACAAAACGAAATATTACTAAGGTTAAAAAATACAAGAAAGACCGAAATTCGGGACTCTCCGAGCGCTTCTGTACTTTCTGTGTCCCTCGATGACTCAGCGATACTCTTGAGAACTCATAATTCTTAAAATCGGGGTTTAATCCCTGCGGTGTGCAGAATTCATTGCGCAGCTTTGCGCTTATACTAAAAAAAAATAATCGTGACAGGAACTTGGTTTTTAAAAGGAAAGAAAATTTCCTAAGCTGGGGGTGTTCAGGGATATTAGTATCCCCCTTCACCCCGCTCGCGATTATTTTATTCTAGCTAGAGAAATTGGTCATATGTTGTTTTCTGGCGATTTTAAAGTTTTGAGGCTGGAGAGATGAGAGAGGCATGTCCAGAAGGTTTCGGGGCAGGGAGAAGACCAATGACGTCGTTAACTTGTGAGATTCATTCCGTTTCGTCCCCCAGTGGGACAACGGCAACTCTACGGATTTACAACGCTAAAATCAAGGGTTTGATTCCCCTCGGTAGTCACAGCCGATGTATCTTTGCTATATAAACACACATTACGTTTCGTAGACGCCTTAGTAAAACTAACTTTACTCGTTACCCTAAAGGACCTGGCATGGCCTGATAATCCCGGGATCAAAACCCGTCATCGAACATGCTCGCTCTCTCAACCGTGGGAGCGTTATAATGTGACAGTCAATTTCATTATTCGTTGGTAAAAGAGTAGCCCAAGAGTTGGCGGTGGGTGGTGATGACTAGCTGCCTTCCCTCTAGTCTACAGCTTCGAAATTATGTTTGTTTGTTTGTC